ATTTCCCAAACCAATCATCATTTTTGATGCTTGTTCTCCTCATCAGGTTTGGGTTTTGGAAGATTTTTCATTTATCATGAATTTAATAGATTTAAGCAAGCACAGACCATGTAAACAGTATGACTACATACATATTCTTAGTTTCTCACTACCCTTTTCTACTCCCTGTTCCTTTCCTGTATCCTGGATTCAGCCTTTATTCAAAGAAAGAAAGAAATCTTGCTCGCTGCCTTCATCAAGTTTGATAACTCAGAAACTTAATTTATTAAATCTCTTAGAGTTACTTTATTTCTAATTTCTTGCTATCAGTATCAAAACTCTTAACATGTAACAAAGCACAAATTTTGAGCACTCTTCAAAGTTAGGTCACTCACAAAGGTACACTGCCAAGAAAGAATTCAGTGTTAATACTGAGTTAATACTTCAGCTCTTATATAATTAAATTAAAATTCAATCAGAAATGAGACAAATCCAGTCTTAATTAGTTTACTACCTTTTCCTCATTCATTCTGGAAGACAGACCTGGTCTGCAGATGATTAAGATGATATGCAGTGGAGGAAGCCTTGCTGTGAGAATCCCTAGTCATTTACTGCTGAACTAATCCCAAAATAGATGGGCTCATTCAGAATAAAAGCCCTGTCTTCTAACTTACGTGGGGAAGGGCTACAAAGCAAGGCAACATCAAAATCCAGGGAAGAAAAAATGAAATGAAAAAAGTCAGTCAGGACTCAATACATGACATACATGCAAACACAAACAAGAAAACCAGATGTAGCTCATTGAAAAAAAAAAAAAAAAAAAGAATCAAAAGATAGATATGCTGTGTTCAGAGAAATCTGATACTTGCATGTATCAGATAACAAGCAGTATTGAGCAGGTTTTCTTTGCCTTGTCTCAGACCTGGCTACCTTGGCCAGTGCCTGATGCATCTCTCTATTATTCACAGATATCTTCCAAAATCACATATATACAAATCACTATATAGTATGGCTTCATATAAGAGAGAATCTTAAGATGCAAAAAAAAAAAAAAAAAAAAAAACCAACCACACGACACAAAACCAAAAACCCATGCCACAAAAGTAGGATCTTCAACTGCAGTATTCCAGTATTCCTGACGGATACATTCCAGCATCATCCTCACCCCACATAAAGGCCAAGCACAAATAAGTCCTCTGAACATTATGTCATACGTACAACTCCTTGCCAAAATTACATACTTACATTGCTGATGTGCCATTAATCCAAGATGATACAGAGATTTATAACAAATTAGGTAATTAACAGGAAAGCACAAAGGCATCATGGTTTTGACAGTGCATATTGCTTAAAGTTGCACACAACCACTGTGTAATTGTTCACTCTTTCTTTCCTGATCATCCAGCTTGACAGCTTGGATATGATAAGTATAGCCAAGTGCCCGCTGAAGTTTATGGAGTACGTATGCTACATATATAAGCACTCTCTTATGTTAAGTGTTCTTAGAAACCATACCCCTGTGATACTAAATTGGACTTCTGAATTTAGTACTACTGATCTTTATCTTCAGGTTTTGATTTTGAGTCACCACTGACTACGCAGAGTCCTAGAAGAGGATGTAGTCTATACAAGCAAAAAAAAAATTTAAAAGATTGTTTTATTTAATATATTATCTCAGTGCATACAAGAGGCAGCAATTATTTGTGCTCAAATGTGTGAAGAACTATGATTTAATATGGTTTTTGTCTTAACGATTTCATACAGAAAATGCATTACTGATATATAAGTTGTTTATGATGAAATTAAAGGCTTGTGTGATGTGGATATTAAATAAACTTATCAGAGCAATTTTAGAGATCAATTCTGCTGAAACAAGGTAACAGCAGCAAAATGGTTATTGCTCCCAATACTGGCATAACGTTGTGCTGGCATATTGGTAAAATGTCTCCAGTAGTAAACAAATTCAGGCAGACATCAATTTATCATTGCACTATCAATGTTATCAATACTACCACAGATGAAAAACTCAAGAGTAGCTCAGTGGCTGGAGAGATTCTGGGACCACAGAACACAAAGCTCTGTTTGCAGCAACTGAACCTCTACAATCGTCTCATAACTTCTAACAAGGTACTGACAGAGAAAAAAAAAAATACGTTTAAGGAATATTCATGTTCTGTCACAATAGAAGAGGACATTAAGCTGTCATGTAGTTGCCAAATAATTTTAGGCTTTTATTATGGCTTCCCTTGTATCAACAATGACAGTTACTTACTTATGGTTACTACGGTGACATTTCCTTGTTTTCTGAACCTGTTACACCCATCCTCTGGAGAATCCACATAACTTCTTTGGGAGCATGCTCTTTGATTTACAGCATTCCACAAAACACAACAGGGAGCTAGGTATTCTGCAGTTTACTCCACGGACTGAGAAATGAATTTCAGATATTCATTTAATATCAGATCACTTTTAATTCATGTTGGGTTAAGATAAAAGTGCAAATAAAGACATTTATTCACAATACCCGAAACAGAAAAATTTTTAAAATAGAGGTGGGAAAATATTCTGAGATTAAATAAGAATTTTAGTTACTTACTGTCAAGAGGCCTTGCACAGACTTTTATAATATCCACCTTGTTAATATATTACCCTTTTTTTTTTTCCCCCTGCATATTTACAACTGACTGAATGCTTTATGGAGAATGTGCAGCCTTAGACTAGCACTTCAGCACTGCTGCAACACCCACCACAAGCCGGCAGTCTGGAGCTCGCCCCAGGAACTGCAGTCGCTTTCTTTCCTTGCAGTCATGTCATCAGATCACCATCACCTCTTTGTTTTACTCTGCACATTAATTTATAGCTTGTGAAGAATTTCTCTAGTCCCAGTTTGCTCACACTGTTGAGACTGACTTTTGTTAAACTTCCAGTATATTTTTGTAAAACAGAGAAAAGTTGCATCTATTTCACCCAGACAATATATGATATACATCTACACACTGACTGGTTATCAGCAACTCAGGGTTTAGAGAAATTATCAACTTTCATGACCTCCTACTGATATTTTCATAATAGGTTGTATGAAAAAATGGAGAGGTTCAGAAAAATGCTGATGGAAGTAGAGGAAAGAGCACAACAGGGGTTTCCTGCCTTTCTAAGTTTACTGTGCATTTTTATTCTTCAACTATAAATTGTAAACTCTTGAAAGTTAAAGCCATTACAAAAATAAAATAAAGCTGTCACATTCATATGCCTTCCATGGCACACTGAGAGTAACTACAAAATTCCAAGTATAATTCAATGTTGCTACAGTTTCATTTCATTAAGAGGTGTTTAACAAAACGTATTTCTATTTCTTAATATTGCATGCTAAATAATCACCACATTATCAGTTAACACACCACTAATAAGAATATTTTTAGCTAAGTTCCCATGTCTTTCATTGAGTCCATCTGATCAATCTGGCCAAGACAAAATTCTGTGCTTAGACAGCTGTTGCCATATCGATGCATTGTTGTAACATGGAAAAGGAGGCAAGTCAGAGTAACTTTGCCTTAAATCACTTTGGCCTCGATATTCCATATTAGCAGTTCAACTGTACTGGTAAAAACATGCTGTCAGTTATGAGTGGAATGAACAGGGAATGAAGGGCTGTTACCACGCACTCTTAATACTTACTTTGTTGCAAGTCTGAGCAGCACCAATGAAAAAGACTCTGCAAGAGACCTCCAAAGGAAGCATCAACTGCAACAGCTCATTTTCTTTGTTTACCAGAATCATCCTTTAGATACAAATACTATAGAAGTACAGCACATACAGTGGTATAGAAAATATGTTCTAGAGCTCCATTATTCCAAATGGAAAAGGGATCAGCTGATCTGCTGGTTTTTGTTTTCCTCCAGATATTGATTTATGCCCAATAAAACATTTCTGACTACATTTGTTCAATTAAAAAAAAAAAAATTAGCTAATTGATAAAGACAGCTCAGATCAAGAAACATGCATTTGCATAAACGCACTGGCTGCAAAGTAGCTTCTTTCTCTAAGCACTATCTTAATTTAATTTTAAAGAGCAGCATCTCACCATTACTGTTACTACTGCTTTTCTCCTGCCTGTATTGCAATCAAGACGCTGAAGTCAAAGCAGTAGCCATCTACGACTGCCACAAGGAATTCGACAACAAATGCTCAAGCTTCACCACATCACATCTTCATTTGTCTCTATTGAATAACACGCGTTAGAGAACAGCCACATCACCGCACATCGCTTCGCTCCCACCCTGACAGAGAAGCACAGCTCACCCAATGCCCTCGCGGCCTAAGCAGTTCTCGGGCAGGAGGGCAGCGGCAGGGCGTTAACCAGGAGAACGCCCAGATGGCAAGCACGCAGAGTACCGCTGCCCAGCTGGAACCGACGCAGCGCACAGCCCTGACCCGGAGCAGCTCTCCCTGTGCTACGGAGGCGATCCCATCCAAACGTCGTGAGGCGCCCTAAAGCAGGTAGCGGGCAGCAGGCAGAGCTACACACGGCTACGCAGAGCCAAATGCGTGAAGGCTATTAGACCACAAACACGCGGATCTTAAAAAGCAAACACACACAACAGCCATCGAATCCCCCGATACGGGAGAGAACGCCGCTCAAGTCGGCGGCGCCCACCCGCTCGACGTGCTGCGGACCGGAGCCGCCCACCCGGCCGGGCCTGCAGCGGGTCCGAGTCCCACTGCGGCCACCGCCGAGCGCGCTGCGAAGCACCGGCCGCCTCAGCCGGGAGCTGGGACGAGCCGCAGCCCCGGCAGCCCCCGGCCGGCCCCGACCCCGAGCCAGCCTTACAGACCACGGCCGCCCCCCGGGACCCAAAGGAGAAGGCCGCGTCCCGCCGCCCGAATCCGGATGGCGCAGTCGCCCGCCGCGGCCCCGGGGGCGGCCATTTTGCGGCCCGGCGGATGACATGTTGTGCGTCGTGCGTGCCGCCGCTCGACGGTTGCGGGGCCGCCCCCCGCGCCCGGCGCCTGCGCAGCGCGCCCTGTGGCGGCCGAGCCGGGGCAGCCTGCTCAGCGCCGCGGCGGCGGCGGCGGCGGCTGGAGACAAAGCGCCCAGCTAATGAATGGGACGGGCCCGCCCGGCCCTTCCTTTTAACTCCTTCGGGCCCGGCCGGGCGGCGGCGGCAGCGGCGACCTCCGGCTTTCCCTGCGGCGGCCGCCCGGGGAGGTGAGTGGCCCCGTTCCGGCACCGGGAAGGGGCCGGGCAGGGCGCTCCGGCTCTCCCCGCCCCGCCGCCCGCCGCCGCCGCCCGCTCTCTGCCTCCGCGGCGCCGGTGCCTGCGGGCCGCGGCCCCGCGCCCCGGGCCCGATAGCGCCCCGTCCCGCTCGGGAGCGCCCGCGGGACGGCGGCGGCGGGGCGGGCGGGGGGCGTGCGGCGGGCAGGAAGCGGGGAGTAGGCCGGCGGTGCGGGCTCCATTGTCTGCGGGGCCCTGGGAGGGGGCTCCGGCGGGCCGGGCTGCGGAGGGGGGCGCCGCTCCCCGGGGAGCCGCAGGGCCGTGCCGCCCCCCCGCCCAACCCGGGGTCCCCGCGGAGCCGTCGGGCTTTGTGCGGGCCTGCCGGGTCGGCCGGCACCCCTCCCACCTGGCCCTCCCTGCGGGAGGCCCCGGGAGCCGGGCCCCGGTGGGGATGGGAGGCGCCGGGACCATGTGGCCGCCGTCGGCCCCGTCCCAGATGGCCGTGGGGCCCGGGCTGCGCGGAGGGGCCGGGTGGTCCTGAAAGCGTTTCTCCGGTACGCGAGGGGACGGGGGAGGTGACCTCAGCCGCGGCGTAAGCAGCGCATCTCTTCCTGCGCCGTGCGGGGCTCCCAGCCCCGTCCTCCTTAGGCAGAGCCGCTGTTGGTACGCGTGGAGAAAGTGCGCGGCTCAACTTCTACGCTCGCTCTTCTCGTTCTCACTTCGGACGCCTTGGTTTCGCTCAAAGATGTCTTCTGTAACTTCCAGGTCTGCGCCGAAGCAGCGTTGACAGCAGCTGCCGGCTGTATTGCAGTGCTCACGGAGTTTGGAGGGTGTCGTGTGCTCCCTGTGCTGCACATGCACTCTGCTATAAGTGTGGAAGAGTTTCTTAAAGCTAGGAAAGTCACAGCATTCAGAGAACCCGTTTTGCTTTAGTGATGCTCAGTACATTACTGTGAAGTTCAGCAGTGTTTGGCTCTCCCTGTTCTTCCTCGGTGCTCTGTGTCTGAGACTGTTATGCCGTGTTTCGGAGGTATGTCTGGGAGATGTCAGAAATTCAGCATGAGCTGTCACACTGCAACTGTCAACCTAAGCAGAGACAGGCTTCTGAGCCCCCATAACACAAGTATGCTTCTCAGGCTGTCCATAAGCACTGCTTTCCATATGGCCCATCATGCTCTTGTGAGTTTTGCTTCTTAAGAGAGGGAACACAGTTATTTTCCTATACAGGGTTTTTCAAGAATTTGGTATCTTCCTTAAAACAAGCCAGGTACCTTCAGGATGGTGTCTGTGGAGTGCGTGCTGGGGGCAGCAGAGCCCCCGAGTCATTGACTGTCCCCAGGACACCAGGCTGCTGTTGGAAAGCTCATACAGGTACTGAGTGGGGGCTTTCTGATTATTATGTGCTGTGAAATTTGATTTGAGGGAAAAAAAGAATACATCGCTAGCAAAAGCAGCGGGAGTTCTTTAGTGGACTCCTGGAAATGCAGGTATTGTCTGCTGGGGACAGGATGGACTGGGACTTGAGGTACAGCATGCTCTTGTGCGTGGATGTCTCTGTCCTTTCAGACTTAGCTGTCTGCATCTTCCTAACAAGCACTGAGGGATTGATAGTGTAGAAGTTCTCCGGAGTTAAAAAATTGATAGAGAATAAGGAAAACAAAAGTAAATGAAATAGCTCGACTGAGCCTCTCAGAGAAGTGTGTTCCCTAAGCATTTGTGCTTTTTGATGACTGTAACTTGTTTGCTGATACACTGTATGAAGCACAATTGTTACATGTTTCACTGACGAGGTGGAAGTCAGCCTGCAGCGGTGGAGGGCTGAGCAGGTATTGGCTGAGCTTAGGGGCAGTGCTGTGCTCCTGGTACCCACTGTGTGCAGCCTCTGCTTCTGTTTGGCTGTTTCGACTCTTCTTAATTGAGACTGCACTGATTGCAGACATTCTGAGCAAGCATTGTGTTTGCAGAAGGACTCGTGGTGTGGGATTGTGGTGGAGTGCAGAAGGGGGCTAAGTGTGTGTGGTATATCACCAAGGCTTATCATTTGGAAGTAAGGGAGCAACTGAACTCCACAGGTGTTTATTTGAAATTGTCTCTGTCTTAGGCTTCATGCATTACATGGAGTAAATGATACCATCCTATCTATCAGTGATTCTTAAGAGCAAGGTGTTACAGAGGAAGTCCTGACAATATCCTGAGTCATTAAGAATAGCTGCTGCTTTATGTGGCCTTTGAGTGTGCCATATCTCTTGTTTTCCTATCCTTTTTCTTGGAAGCTGTTTTATTCTAATTTTCCACAACCCTGACCATGGTAAATTCTGTGAGATTTCTTTGTGGCTCTGAGAAAGTTTAAATCAAGAATTAACATGGGTGTGTTGGGTCATCTCCCAAAGCTTTGCTGTGTTTTACCACTCTGCCATGGAGTCTCCATCAGAGGAGATTTTCTAAGTCCTGGTTTCTGAAGCTTGCTTTTAATTTGCACAAGTTCTTAACTTCCAAATGAGCATGATGGGCTTGCTGTGTAATGTGCAATTAAAATAATCTCCTTTATGCAGACAGGTGAGATTACACATGCACATTAGTTTACTTTCAGACAGAAAGCACTCTTATTCATAGTTTAGATGGGGTTTTGCAGAGTGTGGGCCATAGTGTTCATAATGTATAATTCATCATCAAGTTTGACCATTTTTTTTTTCTTAAATATGGATAGTTTGGGTATTTTTATTAATATCAGCATAAATGAATGTGATTTGCATAGGTTTTTCTGTGTGTGTGTGTGTGTGTGTGTGTGTGTGTGTGTGTGTGTTCTAGCATACATTTTTCAAATGGGCTTCACAAAAAGGTGTTCTCTTGCATCTGGCAAGTGGACATTGTTTTCTGTTCAGCTCTGGCTACTTGCTCTGTATTTGCTGCAGGCATCATCAATAACTGCCAACAGTTCTGAACTGTGAGATTGTTTAATTTTAACCAATTATTGAAAAAATGGAGTCATTCCCATAACCTGAAGATAGCTTTTATGTGAAATGTGGAGTGTAAAGTACACACAAGAAGAATTGAAACTTTTATTATTTTTTTTTCAAAGTGTAGAAACTGCTATCCAGAATTACATTGTGATAAATATTTTAAACGTGGTAGCAGAGTTTTGTTTGCTGTTTTTTTTTTTTGTGATGAGACAGAGTGTAATGTGATAGTCTGTTAAAATAACAGTGGGGAAGACCTTGATTCTTAAGGGCCTTGTTTGTGTTCGAGTATAATCATTCAGAACAAATGACTTTTTTTTTTTTTTTTTATACTGACCGCACATTGGAGAGAGCGATATTAGCCTTCTCTATTAGCCTTCTCTATAACTTGTGTAATATTAATTTTCAGCAGATGTTGGCATAGAAAATTTAAACGTGGTGAGCTTTGTTTGGCCATTACTGCTCCCTATCTCTGTCCTCTTCCCCCTCCCAGTTTGCTTTGTAATGACATGTAGGGTTGAACTATCATTCACTGAAGAGTTACTACCTCATTTTTATGGCTGTTTGAAAACTGTCTGGATCTCTGATTTTCCATGTCCTGTTTGCTAGTTTGTGGTCACTTCTGCCCCACAGGTGTATTCTTTCCTCCATGCAGTGGAGTCGTTTCTATTCAGTTGCTCTGATTTTCTTCTGTATGTGCTTTCCTGAATTTGTTTTTGCCTCTAAAGAAAAGAAGATCAGATGCATTTAAAGTGACTTTTTTTTCTTTGTTATTTTCACTAAGAGAAACGATCAGGAGAACCCAAACATCACCTTGATTTGAATTAAATGTTTGGCCCAGCCTGAAACTGTTTTGTAGTCATCATTAATGAATGAATGAGAATGGAAGTCACTGTTTGTTTTGTTTTTTTTCTTAGACACCAGGAAGGGTGAAGATGGTGCATTCGTACCCTCTCTTGCCTGTAGTCTGATGGCTCTGGAATTGCAAGGAATGTGGGAGAGCCAGGTTTGCTTCCTCTCCCTGCCCCAGGACCTGAATCCGCATCTCTCAGAGCTCCCTAAGGAGCCAGGAGCCATGGGAATGGGGTGGGTCTGCTCACCTCACTGACACTTTCCACTTTGTGCACGTAAATGTCACCTTGTAGAAAGGACAGCCGAAGGTCTCAGCAGTCAAGTTAGCAGGCACAGAGCTTGGGAGATGTTCTTACTTGCTGAACAAAGAGTATGGATTTATTTTTAAGTGCAAATATCAGTAAAAAACCTTTCATGTAATACATCTGCTAATGCATGGTAAGCATGCAACTAGGATTTTCCCTTCTCAAAAGGGGATTCTCAAAAAATACATGTATTTATACACAATTGATTCAAAGTCTAATGCGAAGCACTGATTGTAAGGGAAAGTAAGCACTGATTGCTGGGAAAGATGCTTCCCTGTTGGTGCTTGGTCTGAATCTTCATAAGAGGATGACGTCTCATCCATTAAGCACTACAGAATTCAGCTTTTTAAAATTCTTATTTAATTATTAATTTGCATTCAGATTTGGAGTAGACAATGTGTACTGGATTTTCTGAGATTGCAAAAGATACCTTGCTGGTGTTCTGGTGGCTTTTGTTTTGTTTTTTATGTATCAGGGCAATGAAACATGCAGGGACTCTGCACTGTGAAGCTTGTGTCTTCATGGTCAGTGGGCTAGAGAAATGTGTCCTGTGATGGACCATTTTGCTTTTTTTTTTTTGTGCCTTGCCAAAATTTTGACTTAATATACTCTGCTTGTAATCATTTCTTTCTTGTATTTGGGGAATGATAATCTTGTACTTATCCTATGTTACTACATGTTGGTTAATAACCATGCTAGGTGCAGCGTGTAAGCAATGCTTTTGGCTCAGGAAGGGAAGCAAAAGCTTCCAGGTGAATCCTGTAGTGCATTAAAAGGTATCGACAGACTCCCTTGAGCTGTTGTAATGTAGTGCAGACTACTGTGGTGAGAAGTGAGTTTGTTGCATTGGCTTCGTTTGGAGAGTAAAATGTCATATTGTCACTCCTAAGCAGAAAGAGAATCCATGGGACATCAAGAAAAGTACAAAAAATGTCTTTTCATGTTTCTGCATATTCATTTTTGGTTTTGCTGTTATTTTTTTTGTTTTGGTGCCCTAGTGTTGAAAACATCTAATTTTTCCTGACATTTGTGTGGCTAAATAACCCCCCCC